CGCCGTATTGTGCCCCAAAAAATACCTGCCCTCGATCATTCAAATATGAAGTTATAAAAATCCTCAAAATCGGCGTGAAATTTCGTGGCGCTCACCTAGAATGCCTCGAACGACGCAGAAAAGGAACGATTCGGGAATTCTATAGTTCGTAAAAAGTTTGGTGTCCATTGTCACGACTGTTTGCGGAAAGTCGCCAAAGGCAAATGAAGACAAGCGGAAGCTTAAATCAAGAAATAAAGTAATCGTCTCCCCGTTCACCGTGTTTGTCGACGCGTTTTACACCCAAAGAGCAAAACACGGAAGCCGCGTCGCCAAACTATGTCTGTGTATTTTGACATGTTGTGTTGACAACTCGGGTCCCACTAGGAATCAAGTTTCCTTGTCCCCGTGTTCTGCGTCGTGTCCGCCGGGTGGGACGGCGGACTCCAACAAACAGGCTGTCCGTCGGTGTCGTCTGCCGCTCGTTGTCGTGTGTCGCTGTCGTTTGTTGCTGTTTGTCGCTCTAGTGGGACGCGGCTCAGCGTGCGGCAAGGTCTGCCGACAACGCTGCACCTGAGGCGGGTAATGTAACCCGAAGCTTCCGGAGGCGATCGAGTCGAACGGAGAAATGTTCTCCCGGGAGCCGTCGAATGTCGCTGTGTGCGTGGCCACACTGATATGTAATTAATTTAATTTCATTTCGTCTTTTTCTCCCCTTAAAGTGCTCAAGATACAAAAATTTAAACAAATAGATTACTCTATGTATCATGTGCTCATAGGTCTCCTAGCATACACTGCAAATTTAGCGATTTTTTGAGCTCTTGTAGACAAAAGAGTAATTTTCGAATGTCATTCATTTGCGTCTGGCGACCAGTCAACCCTGGTAAATTGCTAAGGTAACCCTACAGAGTAGTCACGTTTTGGTGACCATGACCCATGCTATTGTAGTCATATGGTTGAACTAGGGTGCCTACATGGAGCGGCGGAAACATGTAGGCACCCTAGGTTGAACGCTCTTTCACAGGCATATCCATGCTCACCACACTCGCACTCTACACTCTGCCTTCTATAGCCTGCTCTTTGCACCTACGTAGTGTGTCGAAGCCAGACTCCTACGACGCAAGCGTTGCCCTATCATGAATCTACTCAAAATGCTAGAAACTGTGGAGCTAAAGGCGGAAATTAATTGGTGAGATAGCGAAGTCTGGGGGTACATTAGGCAAGGAAACAGTCAGAGTTGCGAGAGCAGCATTGCGACACCGCAGCGTTAGGTGCACTGGCATGACCAAACTTTCAAACATGGCTGCCTTCCTGAATGGGCGTATTTGAGGGTACCGTAATTATATGGAATTTATCCACGAAACTAACTGTTTCTAAACGAAATAATTTGAGCAAAAATATAGTGACGTCTAATAGGTTCCAGCGGTTTTATTTTTTGAGCATCCTAAACACTTCAGGGGCACTCTCGGACGACATTACATTAGCAGGATGCATTACATTAGCAGTAAAGCTAAAATACTAACCACATTCCCGTGTATGAGCATAAAATTAACTAAAACTTTAGAAGAACAAAAATACAGTGCAGTAAAAATTAGAGTACAAGAAAACAATCTTTAGAAAAAATGTTCAGGGAGAGTAACGAATAGTGGCGCCGTAAGATTGTTTCAGTAACTGGTACGAGAATGATCTGTGAAATGCGTTATAGTGAATATCTGTCGAAACTTTCAAGAATTGTTAGTACTTTAAAGGATGGGCAAAACACTCGCAAAAATGTAGCGAAAAAAAAATATAAAAGACCTCGACTTGGGCGCGCGATTTTTGAAGTTTTCTTCAATAAACACAAGGCTGTACTAGTTTGTGTCCAATGAAAATTTTCAACGGGTTCACGAAATGCTCTCTATTCAATACACTCTCATTGGTTCCCAAACGCTAAGAATTTTTTTACAGAGTGTTACTCGGTTTAATTTGAAACGCCTTTGCAGACTCTATGATACGCGCTTGAACTTTTACTGTCCACTTAGTACATCTCCAAAATTACAATTTTTAAAAAGGTATTTAAGTACAAAACGTGATGAAAAGAACTTGATACTCCCCAAATACTTTCCCAGATACATCTGGTTTCTATAGTTAGATATACCTGAATGAAATTGAGGTCTGAGTGCAAATAGCTGACATCTGAATAAGTAGTGGAGACGGTATATATACTTCAAAAATCCAGCGTATAAAACGAAATAACAGATCTAACAATAAAATTAATTGAACGTAAATTAGGAAATACGACCGAATGGATCATGAGCAGGCGATGACAGTTTGTGCAACAGGGCAAAGAACACCTCTTGTAGTACAATCAACAATAGACACATCATTTCAAAAGGCGAGAACGTCACGTGACTGCCTATCACTCATCCGCCTTTTACAAGAAACTATGGGCAGGATCAAAACAAGTGGCGCACAGAGATCTCTGTCTTAAAAATATTTGCTCACCTGTAACAGTCACGGAGCAGTTTGAAGGGGAATATAAATGCAGCACAAAACAAGAGCCAATAGTTCAATTTTGCCAATGCGTTACCCGTTTTTTTTTTTTTTTTTATCGTGTGTTTCTTGTAATCGAAGCTGCCGAGGATCATGCTTTCGACATATGACTCACAGCGCTAAGGTGGTATGATCGGTGGTCGAGTCTGTTAGCTATATAGAATTAGCACACAACAGCACAGAGCACTGCATAATTAAAAGCGGTAAAAACACAAAAAACTAATAGAACAGCACAGAGTGCTCTGCGATGTACCCAGTCGCAATCAAACTTAACTAAAAAGCTCAAATGAGCGTTTTCCATCTTTTTATTCTTTTCTTTTTTTTTACGCGGGGCGTCAGTTAGGCGACATCCGATGGTGTCAGTTTGTTACTTGGCGGCGGGCCCATTACAGAGCGCGAGGTGGGGGGGGGGGGGGGGGGAGCTGGGAGGGTACGAGCACTGGTAGACACCGAGCTAGGGCAGCTATCGCATCAGATAACGCCTCTGTGTCCCTGTTTTTTGAGCGCTAAGATGTATTCCAAATTCCAAAACCAACTAGCCCAACAATCTACTCTACTGGAACGAGCTCTATCAGAAACACGAAATAATGTCAACAGTTTTATTTTATCTTTATTTTTGTGTGTTGGGAAATGAGCTGTCTAATGCAAGGTGAAAAAAAAAAAAACAAGCAGTGTTTTTTTAAAGCAGTTCATCTAAGAACCTACCACGCTCTGCCCGCGCTCTGCGAGTGGACAACCGCCACGTGACCAATTGGTACCACCGGCTGTCGCCAGGCTAGCGCCCTGCAGAAAAAGACGCGCGGTCGAGCGTTCCAGTTAAGTTTGATTGCGACTGTACGTCCTTCATCTACTAACCCTTCGTGTTTTAGCGATTTTAATTCTCTACAATGTGCCACCAACTCGTCTAATTTCATACCCTTCTGCAGCACAGAGCACGTGGAGCGAAAACTCGCTTTGCAGAACGTAGCGATCAGACCTCCTGCCACATTTTCACCTGAATGGTGCTCGTACTAGTAGGCCGTCATGTAAAAACTACAGTTTTTGTTGAAATAAAGAGGTTAGCAGCATGGCAATTTCTTATCGACAAAAATAACTAATGTCGCCATATCTCAAGAGCACACCGGACCCTGTCTAAACATGCAGACGTCTTATTTGGTTACGCATGACGATTGTATTTGAAATTAAATTTAATATCAATTTTATTTAATATACAACTGAGTATTTAAATACAATCGACACATACATTCTGTAATATGCTGTTAAATACAAAATACCGGATGTATATTAAATGTTTGCATTTTAGATACTGTCTATCCCTGGCGCTTGTGTTACATCTCTCATCCAGGTGTCGCTAAATAGCTCAAAACGATCAAGAGTACTTTTTTTTTCTACTCCAGAGATGATCGAATTCGTAAGGGTTATATTTAATTTTTAAACTGCTCTCCATGTGGACCGGGTAATCCGAACCAATTAAAATGTATACACAAACATTGGACTTACATGTGGCGATACTTTACATTAGGCCAAGAATGTTTAACTTTGAATGTTTTTGCAAAATAAAATTTTACAATCGCAAACGATTACATCCACTTGATTTACGAGGAACATTTTTTGTTTGTTCGAAACTGGTGCATTCTACTCAACGTATGATGCAGTGAATGAGTTCCGTATTTGGTTTACAATATTTTTATTATTATACGAAGCCTAAGCTTAGACCAGGGGTGGCCAGGCTCACCCGGCCTAAGAGCCGCAAGCAAAACCACAAAACTTCCAAGACCCCCGGGGGGGGGGGGGGGGGGGGGAGAGACAAACTTTGGTCCAGAGCAATAAACGAAACTCGAACTACTTTCAATCTATCCGAGCCAAAAACAGTCCAAGTGCACGTAACTTAGCAGTAACACAAGACTATCAAACGACAACCTGTCTTTCGATTTAAAACGCGTTCCATTTCTCTTTTTGGGGAAGTGCGGAAAGGGGGGGGGGGGGGGGGGGGTGAGCTTTAACACGCGAAGAGCCGCAGACGGCCCGCGAGCCGCAGCTTGGTCACCTCTGGCTTAGACGTTCGATTCCACAAAGCCTCTTAACTAAAGCTTACTGAAAACGGTCAGAAAAAAAAAAAAATAAACGAAAGTTTTGTTACATTTAATTTTATGACGGCTGTTTCCAACCTTTGACTCGAACACAGACTGTTCTTCGTAGAACTTTGAACTAGTGAAACTAGTGAGCCATATTTTAAAAATTCGAACTCAACAAACCGAAACAAATTTAGCTTTATACCTTTAAAAATCTTGGTGCGGCAACAAAACAATTTTCTTTAGTCATTTGTCTCAGGGTTCTGTTAGGGCACACCCCACACAGTGAGAGTTTATCAGGCAAGGCCCGTTGATAAGAGAAATCTTACGCTAGCCAGATTTGCCAGCAAGTAAAACGTTGTAAAAATACAACCCCGCGATAAGTCGATTAGCGTGGTCCTTATCTCTACAGCTGAGGCAATCTCCAGCGGGAACGTCTTTTCAGCGAAGCTGTGTTGGAGGCTCTGTGCAAACCGTACACGTGGAGAGCGAGCGTTCGGCTTGAAAATAGAGCACCTCGTCTCAAACCTATAGAATTCAGCTACATCAAAAAAGGTAAGAACCTGTCCAGATGTCTGTCTGTTGCCACTCGGGTGTTGCAATCAGGCAACTGCTTTCCGAAGTTTTGCATTACTGAGATACGTCTAAATGGCTATTGTACCATAAAATATTTACTTGCGGACACCGGAAAGCACCACCAATTAACACCAAATTAACAGCCGGGTGAAGTAGCGAGATGCACGTTTATTGAGGAGAAAGCACCACATGTTCTGATTCGTCCGTACGTAAAAGAAACAAAAAAAAAAAAAATACAGACGTTTTCGTTTTAGAAAACAAAATTCATATTTTTCTCGACTCCAGCACAAAAGGTAGTTTTTTTTTTGTTGGTAATAACCAGGATCGACCCAACTCAAGTAAAATTAAATGAATGCGATACGCCTGCGCCTCTGGAGGATCCGGTTACACGCGAAGCGGGGAGCGATGTTGGTCCCTTGCTTCGCAAGAGCAGAGGTTCTAGGTCATACGCACGAGACACTGGAACTCGCGCGCTTGCTCTTCCCAGTTTGATAACATTCCCATTCTTAAGGAAGTTTTGAATACGCTCCGAAACAGCCTGGTTCTTTTATGCAGCGCACGTGACGAGTGTGCTAAAGGGAGGTGTCTGTACAAGCCTCAATTTTTCTCTCCAGACTTCCTACTGTTGCGGGTAATTCTTCTAAAATTTTTGTTCTCATTGGTCAATAAAATCAGATAGAAACATGCAGTTCCTTATGATACCCTGACCGTTTTACATTATCCAGAAAGATTGTGGCAATTTAGCCTTGCCATGAACGACTCCAGTTTGCTTTATGTTCATGACCCAAACTCGCTCTCCAAAGGAGACGAACAGATCACGTTGATGCGCAATTTGTGTCACTGGTTTGGCTGGTTATTTCGTCGATTCCTGAGTTTCTACTCGCATTGATGCGCTACGTAGTGCAGAGTTATTTCTGTAGTGAAGGTGCAGTTACACAGAAAACAACTGCTCGTAGTCACACAGTTTGTGCTTGGGCAGTTTTGAATCGAGGGTCTTAGTTGTCTTTGGGAGCGTTCTGCACAAGTTCCTCTCGCCATGAAAAGTGTGCCGAACTGCACTTGTTAGGCAAACGTGTTGAACGAAAGATTGTGAGCCACAAATTTTACGTTTTGCTGAGTGATTGCTTAATGATCCTCACCGTAAATTGCGTTATGCTGTTTCTTTTTGCTTAGCGGGGGCTTGATGTGATGTGCCTGAAAGGTTTATGAGAACATTTCCGAAAGCTGAACCAGTGGTTTCCGCACATTGGGGACTATTGACAGAAAGAAGAACACCTGGGATGCTATGGGTGGCAAATATTGATTTGCAGTGAGCTATTACGCCCTCTGTTGCGAGGTCTTCGAGTGAGGTCGTTTTCAAAAGCAAGAGCGAAGGGCGATTACGACCAGCCATCATCTTTCGTGTAGGAATAATAAGTACGTCGCACCTCCCTCCCAAAATCGTCTTTAAAATTGGACGAGGAAAATCGCATGATTTAAGATAACCCTGAGACAGGGGAAACAAGAAGGACAAACACGACGAAGTCTCAAAACACAGCTGCGAATTATTATTTATTTTACTCGTCCTTTTTATAGAACGATCCCCACCATCATTCGAACTTCCTACCGTCAACCCCACGATGCACGTCAAATGGGCAAGGCCCAACAACCCCGATTCGAAGAAACCGAACCGAACCGAACGAACTTCCACAACAGTACAACAATAACGCAAGCACCGTTACCCCTAACACTCGCCCTGGGCAACCCCCAACACACCGTGAATCGCGGGGTTGACGGTAGGAAGTTGTAGTGATGGTGGGGGCCGTTCTATAAAAAGGACGAGTCACAAAAATTAATTCGCAGCTGTGTTTTGAGACTTCGTCGTGTTTGTTCTTCTTGTTTCCCCTGTCTCAGGGTTGGCTTAAATCATGAACGTAAACCAGCTCGCCTGAGCCTTATCACTGATTTCAGAGTAGAATTTTTCGGTTATGGCCAGTTTGAACGCACGTTTCACGGGTCTTTACATGCGCTCGATTTCTTCATTTATTCTTGGCCACCACACAGACAAATTTTCTCGTACTTCGCATTTTTCAAATCACATGTTCCACCCCTCGTTGCTGTAATCTAGAGTTGTAGACGGCACGATTCTATTGTCGGTTCCAGTTTCAGAACTCAGTGGATGTCCTGCCTCGAGCGCGAGCTTTCTGCCTTCGATAACACTGGGTCAAACGCGCAACTAATGTTGCCAATTCGAAAAAAATCAACAACAAAAAAAAAAAACACCATTGAAATTTTAAAAACAGCTAGAGACCACTAAATTTCAGAAGCAGGGAGTGGAAGACTGTATAATGAGATTTACATTCAAAATTAGTGTAGAAACACATTATAACGATTGAAAGAAACTTTAGTACGTTTTCAACTCCCATCGTTTCCGGCCATTCGCAGTATACGATGCCCACTGCATCACCTTGCTCATACCAGGTACGTGGCCATACCTGCCGGCGTAAAACCTCCACCGATCCAATCTTTTGTGCAACATTTGGAGCCACTTCAAAGATCCGGCGATCAAAATTCGCCGGCTTTGCAGAAAATTCCATTTTCCAGTAGAGATATTTGGCAGGTCTGACATCACTTGGAACCAGACTTGTCTGGCACTCATTAAAGGTAATAAATTACTTGTAATCAATTACTTTTTGATTCATTTCCTAATAAGTTGAATACATTTATTAGAAAGTAATCGCGAGAGTTATTTGACTACTTTTAGAAGTAATAAAATTATTTCTAACCGGTACTATGGTCCCTCCCCTTCTTAATGGCGTCATATGTTTGCACATATTTCCTGCCAAGGAATCTGCAGCGGAAGCTTTCGCTCCACGCTCCGATCTGAGACGCGTTAACCCACTCGGCCACCGATCCCCCCCCCCCCCCCCCCCCCCCTTCCCACCGATTCAGAGCTTGAATATCCAACGAGTCAAAAGATCCAAGGAAACGAAAGATCCACTAGTGTATATTCAGGCTCGTTGGATATTCAGACACGTTGTACATTCAGGCCTGGTTGAATCTTTCGTCTCGTTGGACATTCAGACTCGTTGGACATTCAGTGTCAAATGGATATTCCGTCTCGATGGATGTTCAGTCACGGTGGACATTCCAGCCTGGTTGGATCTTCCGTCTCGTTGGATATTCAGACTCGTTGGACATTCCGTCTCAGTTGGACATTACTTTCGATGGATATCAGTCTCGCCTGCCACGTAACCAAGTAGATACCTGATTTGAGCAACGCGTTTCGCATTGTTTACGTATTTCGAGCTGGTACATCTTCAAATTTTTAAAAAGAATCCTGGTTGCTCAGGCGGATGCAGGTTGTTTAAACTTGGCTGTTAAGATCGACACAATTTTTAATTGCCTAACGGTTTATACAAATTTGGGCTTGTTTTTAGCTTGTTTATTCTTATGTGGGCCGTCCTATTTGAAGGAACCGCTGGCCATTGTTCGTTTTGGAGAGGGATGCGTGTGGCCTTCGCCGGCTTACGCGCGTCTCGGGGGGTACATAGCTTGCTCCCGCCGGGGTCTGCTTTTTAGAGTTGTCGGCGGAATTCGGGTGGCCGTTATTAGGGAGTTTTCGTAGGTCGTTTTCGCCGTCCCGCAATGCTCTCCGCAACCCGCTACGATAAACGGAACGCCACAGTCAAGGCCGTCGGCACGCAGGCGCAGTAGCGGCTTCTTCGTTGCTGTGGGCTTAGCGGAAGGGGAAACGCGGTCTGGGAAAACTTTCTATTCCCCTGTGCCTCCTCTACCAACCATTTTCGGCCTTTGCAGAGGCACCTTGGCTGGGTGCTTGGTTGAGACGGCGGCTGAGACTGCAGTGGGAGCTGCGTGCCCGCCGGACCAACCAGCCGCCTGCCTCTTATTACCTGACCCGGCCCTCTGCGTTGGTATGAGTGGGAGCGTGATGACGTGGCGACTTAGAGACAGGACGTGGCTTCCACCGCAGTCTCAAGTTTTGGAGCAAACGGAATATAGAGCGGCAAAGCGAAACTACGAAGTTGCGAAATAATTTTCGTGAATGGGCTTGGCGTGGCGCCGAGTAGGCTCCGGCCGTTTGTGCTGCCGAAGTTACGGGCGTATCACCCCGTGTCCGTTGCAAATATAATCTCCGTACTAATGAGCGTATTGGGCGGCCCCCAGTCGACAATTGGACGGTGGACATCCCGTGACTCCGATAGATTTCAAAATGATTGATTGGCCGCCCCAGAAGGAGAGGAGGCGAGAACCTTTAATGTCGCGCGACAGGGCGGGAAAGAAGATTTGATCTGGGGGACTGGGAACCAAAATATCCGAGGGGCGTTCTTGTTCTGATGTACAGTATCGCCGTTGTTGCGCTTTCAATTAAACGTGACTGCCCCGGTCATTTAAAAGTCTACCACCGTCGTCACGTGTCAGCAGGACCAAACAAATTTATATATTACTTTTGTTTTTGCATCTTTCGGACACTTTCGCTAATTTTGCGATACATCTAAAACTGCTGAAAAATATGAAGAAAAAAAAAACGCAGAACTTCGCGCAGCCTTAACTGCAAAAAAATCCCAATATTTATTTTAGAAGCCTGTTTTAAGTAGGTTATTGCTTTATTAATAGATTTATTGGCAAAAGCAAGAAAAGGCTATGGCAGTAATTAAACTTCAAGAATAAAATGTAATCACATACAACAATCAGTGATTGGTGCACACCAGAGCAACTGTTTAGACAAAAACGTTACGGAGAAGGTTTCCGCTTTTGGCACCTTTCTCGACGTCTTTGAAAGAGGACAACTTGATCAGCGGAAACCATGACACATTTATTCACATCATGTGTCACTAAATGACTGCTGAAAAACTGTTAAGTAGCCGCTGGGAGCACACCAGTGCTCGCGATTCTGTCCCCGTAATTGCAGACGTCCTGGTAGGTGGCAGCATTGCCGCTGGTGAATGAGGCAAAGGCATCCATTTCTGCGTGGAGCC